TTTTTTTAAAAAAAGTAATTACACAGAAGAAGCTATACATTATGGAATCTAAATATGAAAACCATAAACAGAGAAGAGTAGCAAGAGGGAAATGGGCAAGAAGCAAAAAATAAAATAAAAATAAAAATCATGCTACTTTATTGTCTTCATATTTGAGCCATCAAACCTTCCTATTAAAAGGTGGTAATCCACAGAGCACCTGAAGCTAATTTTCCACCCAACGACACTGTCGATTCTCCTTATTCATGCGATCCCAACCACAGCTATCTGCTGGAAAGTTAGGCCCAGAGTTTAAGTTTCCATCCTTTGGCTCTCTTTGATTATCTGTCACTGATGAAGTCCTTTTACTCTGGGAAAAAAAAGTATCTTGTTGGTTGAAGAAATGCTAATATATTTGACTGTTCTATTTGTTGGCAGCCAGGTTTTGTATTCACACAGTATGATTAACTTGATTTACTCAAACCTGAATTTGCACAACACAGAGAAGAAAGTCATTGGCTGGCTTCACCAAATACATGAAACTCGATTTTGGGCTGCCATCCATTGGAAGAGGTAATTGTTCCAAATTTTAAATTTCAGTCATGCAACATAAATGCTTCTCAGGGTACAAATAATACATGTGTAAAAACATATACATATTTTATCAACAGACATGTTTATCGACATGAGAGATTTTATTGTACACTAAAGATGTGGTTTACTTTTGTTTAAAACAAATGAAGATTCATTTGAAAAAATAAACTGACTAAGTCAATTACATACTTCAAGAAATTTATGAACAGAACAATATTTTCATTGATTGTCATTTATTTTAAGGGGAAGCTAAGGTAAGTTTGAAAGGCTAGTAAAGTTACAAAGCTAGGAGATAAATGAACTATAAATGAAAAAAAAACCCTCTAATTTATTCTGAGCAAATCTATTTTGCCAGCTGTTGCTTTAATATTCTATAAATCTCAATGTAGCTCTTGATTTAAAATGTTTGTTCACACCTGAAGAAAACCAGTGTTGAAAATAATTATTTATTGCTAGCAATAAAGCAAAGAGAAAAACAACAAGAAAAGTACAAAGCACCTCATTCTGCTTATATTGGATTTCAGTCTACCACTTTTCCAAATGTTTTGTTTTTCAGGAAAAATGCTAATTAGCTAAAAGCACTTTAAACAAAGCAGAAATTTGGGTTAGTAGAATAACATCAACCCTCTGCCCACATACCTGATGAAAAGCAAGGGAAATTGGAGAATTGTCACCCTGAAGGATACTAAGTGGGGAACGTCCAGTGCCAGTTGGCATTGCCATCGTTTTGTTACTGATTCTGCGTTTTACTGACTTGCTTCCTGGGGAGTAGGAAGGAAGAAAAGAGTGCGAAAATTCATCACGATGTTTCTTATTTTTCAGAACAGAAGCTCAAGTACCATGATATCTCCCACCTTTCCTTCCTAAGCAGGCAGAATGTGATATCCTTATGTAGTAGAAGAATTAGTTTATGTGAATTTTGCTAACATAGTTAACAATATAACCACACTACACTACATTCCTTTTTCTTCCTTAGTTGTGGCACAGTCTCAGTTTAAGTTCACATTCTCACAGTGGATGCAGAGGTAGACTACCATAAAGCTAGCCAACGTAGGTTCCAGTTTCTTGGGGACTGAAGGTGTCTTGCATAATGCAGCTGGGTACCAGATTCATGAGAGTTAGCAGCTTAGATTGACAAAACAATAACACAAATAAACATTTATGTAGACAGAAATAATACTGATGAAATCGACTTGCTTCATTCAGAAGATCACTGTTAAGAGGAGTAATGTAGCAGCTGAACAGCTTTGGACAATTAATCTTACCTGTAGGGTGAATGATGCGGGCAGACTGTACTGGTTTTGTGGCAGCCACAACAGAAACCAAGGAAAACTGGTCATTTCCCCCTTCTGCTTGCTGAGAATCCCCTAGGAAAATTTCCTCAGAAGAAACTATGCTCTTTGCAGTCCTCTCCTCCATTCCAAAGGTGAATTCAGATTTTTGATCTTGATGCTGAGATTCCTGTTGAGATAGCTCTTCCTCTCTATTTTGTCCCATAAAGTTTTCACAAAACAACTTCACTGGGTAATTTATGGTATCTGGACAGAAATCAAATTCAAGAATTGAAAATTTATACACCAGTACATACCAAAGGAAAATTTCAGAGATTAGAATATTACTCTTTGCCCACCAAGACCTTCTATAAGCACTGCGTTAAAGGGCACATAACTCAGCCCTAAGATGTCAAGACCCATGTATAAGACAGTAATGGCTGTTAAAATTGTGCACATGATCTTCTCCCACTACTTTGGCAAATCTTTTCCTTCTGTACAAACATCACTGAAGAAAGAAGCTGAGTATCCCCCACCCCTCTTGTTCCAAATATAGAAAGTTAGAAGTAGAATCCAATCTCACACATAGCATACAAGCCCATGAACATGAGAACTTCATACTCCCAATAAGCAGCCTATCAAGCACCCATACTTGTTCGGTGATGTCAAGATCATATAGAAGGCTGATCTTAGTCATAATTAACCAACCAAGACAACCTTGACCATACTCTTGGATCAACTCTGGTGGGTGCAAGACGGAAATGAAGCAGCCATCCTTGTTCTTCTTGATCTATCAGAGACTTTCAATTTCATTGATCACAGTATCCTTTTGGACTAGATCCAGGAGTTGGATATGGGTGAGCACAGTATTGTCTCCTCCCTTCCCCCAGAATCAATTCCAATCAGTGTTGATGTACAGGGTATGCGTGAAATGAAATTCCACTAGCAGTCTCTTCTTTGCAAAATGCCATAGGGCTCAAGACACTCTCTTATCTTGTTTAACATCTCCCCTCTAAAATTTTGGGATTGATATCATCAGTATGCTGTCTGCCGTATGTCTCCATCCTAGGCCACCTGAAGGTCTGTCTCTGCACCTGGAGACTATGGGTGTGGTGTAACAAGCTTCAGCTGAACCCAAGCAAGTTTTAGGATTTTGGACCTCTCGGTTCTAGGTAAGACAGGCTTTCCACCCTTAGTTCTGGATAAGTAAGCCTTGCCTACTGCACAATTTGGGGAACCTACTGGATCCACAGCTCCTGCTCAAAAAGCAGGTAGCATTTTTGGGCCTTATGTCAGTTGTGCCAGTTCCTGGAAAGGGCAGCCTTGCTCATGGTCACTCATGCCTTCATGTCTGAATTACTGCAATGCGCTTTACAGGGTGCTACCCTTGAAGAGCATTGGAGGCTCCAGCTGATGCAGAAAGCAGCATTGTGGGCAATTACTGATGCCAATTACACAGCACACATGACACCATTACTTCATGAGCATTGGCTTTCAGATACAATTCAAGGGGTCGGCGATCACCTTTAAAGCCCTTCGTGGCTTAGGACAGGATTACTTATCTCTCCCCAATTGTTTCTACCTGTCCTACCCGAAGATGGGGAAAGACATGTTGTGAGTACTATTGGTTGCAAACTGTCAAGGCCCAGGAAAACTTTTTTTGTTATGGCACCAGCACTTTAGAACATTCCCCCACCTGAGATTAGATTTGTTCCATTGCTTGCTGCCCTTTCTTAAATATTTGATTGTGTTTCCCAGGAAGGAGGAAGTGTATTCCAAAGGAGCAAAAGAAGCGAAGTCTAGGTAGTCTGTGTGGAAGAAAATGTTAAAACTGTTTCTTCCCTAGCAGTTTTTAAGACTATACGTTTAATGGTGCAAATACTTTGCTGTAAGTTTGGCAAGATTTCTCTCTGGTCTGGTGAAGAACAATAAGAAACCTCTTAGAAGGGAGGGCGGGGCTTGACATCGTTATGACACGACATGCAATCTTGGGGCTCCAGGATTGCTGTCGATATCTCTGTTTCTGGACAGTCCTTTTGGACCTAAACTGTTCTGAAGAGCATGTTCTGCTGATGTCAGGGGCATCGCAAAGCCCAATTGATCCAGGAGAAAACTCTTTTTGCCAGCTACAAGAGAAGCAACCAAAATGGCTGCCGAAGGTTGGGACAAGCCTATGAAACAGAAGCAGTACAGGTGTGGTGTCGAAATGGTGAGAAAATTTTTTATTATTAGAGAAGGGAAAACCCAAAAGAATTGGAATTTAAAATAAAATTGAAGACACAAGAAAATAAGCGGCGAATCAACTCTGGTCTAAGACTGTTGTGTTATCTTTTCTACTTTAACTTTGTTTGTTTTCTATGGATGGACTTTTTACAAATGCCTCTTACCTTTAAGATGGACTGGTCTCTTTTCTTCCTTCTTCCTCTATACTTTTTCAATTTTTTGTATTCGTGGATTAAAAGCTTCTTCTCTTGTGAGGCTTGGACAGACCATAATTTCTAAACTTTTTTTTAACCTCTCTGGGAACTTGGCGTTTACAGAGGCAGAAACAGATGGGAAAGAGGTAACACTGCCATCTAGTGGCTAGAGGCTTGGCAATATCTGATATTACAAAGCTATAAGCTTTGTTTACTGAAAGGCTCAGTGGAAAACGTTTTGTTTATACAGGTGTTCCTTTGAAGGAAAGAGAAAGCTTTGTTTTGAAAAACTTCACTGAATTTGTTTGACCTAAAAAGTCTCGGATGTTTTGGCAGTGTTTATAACCTGGAACATGGCACAACGTGAAGAAGAAAAGGCACTAACTTTGCAAAGAATTTTCTTAGAAATTCAAAAAGTTGTAATAATTACAGAGAGAATTGAAAAGAGACTTGAAATTATAAATCAAAATACAGAAAGTACGGGGACAGTGATGAAGTTTGAGGACAGAGCGAAAAAATAACAGAGGCATATGAAAGTGATAAGAAAATTGTTGACACTGACAGCAAACTGAGAGTGGAGGGAAATGACAAGTGTGAAATACGGAAAGGAGAAATCAACGGTCTGGAACTTTATTTCAGATGTCAGAAAATAGAGGAAGAAAGGAAAGATAATTTGGCAGAAATAATGAGAGTAATCTCGCCAGAAGCACTAATCATAATAAAAGTTAAGCTGATAAAAAGAGCAGATAGAGGGTTTTGAATTTGAAATGAACAACAAGTTCTTAAGAGAAGTCCACATAAGACTTATCAAGAAAACACTTAGAATGCAGACTTTACAAATGGCAAGAGATATTGGACTACACTATCTCTGGAAGAATACAGGATGATGAAATGAAATGTCATAATAAATTTTATTTAAATGTAGTTAAATTTTGAGTGCTATATACAATGTAATAATAGTTATAGTCAAATGATTAATAATGATAACAAAGCATTTATATATACTAGATCAATAATATGAAATCTTATACAAACTGTAAGTGAGGATCATGGAGATGATGTTGAAAAGCCTTTTTATAAAAGATAAAAAATTCTATGTAGAATAGAATATAAAGATGTAATATCATTGGAGGATTTCAGGATGATGTAATAAAATGTCATAATATAAAGTTACTTCAAATTTAATATGCTTTATGTTGAAAGGATGTAATAATAGCTAGGTTTAATGGATTTTTAATAATTATAACAATTTGTATACATTTATATTAGATTGATGATACTAATAATGGAGGGGGGGAAACACGGAATCGAAAATTATTAGAGAATGTTATCAATGCTAAAGTGATAGAATGACTTAGGAGGAAGCATAATAACCATGTATACAAAGATATCTTGATTGTCAATATGTGAACTTTGAAAAAATTCAAGTGATGACTATGGAAAGGACACAGAAAGACTTTGTAGCCAATCAACACAGTGTGTGTAGTTGAAGAGGCTTTTATGTTATATGTGCTGTGCGTTTTGTGTTTGTCTGAAAATAAAAATTTTATTTAAAAAAAATAAACCTCTTAGAAGAACCTCAATCTGCTATTCTTGGTTTTTGGACTCTGATATTATTCTACAAACGGTCCCTAAAAACTTCTTTGGGGGTCCTAGGTGTGGATTAGTTAGGTAATGCCAGCTGCTTTGGTTTTTTAATAAGACATCTAGAGCCACATAGATTTGAGTGGGTGACTTCAATTGAATAAATAAACTGGATGGATTATTTAGGGTGAATATTAACAAATGTGTCCATGCAAAATGCTTCATCATTGGTTAATTTAACTAAATATTCTTAGTTTGCCCAACTCATTAATCTACAAACTAACCGTACCACTGGATTCATATATCACGCTAGACTAACATTGTTAGAATTTTATTCTCTCTATTTTGGACAATTCAATGCAGTAAAAATACCTAATACTCCTGTAACAACAACCCTATGAAGTGGATTCAGCTGATAAGAGTAACATAGACAGCCTTCATACCTAAGGGATGTCTAGAACTTATCTTTTGGTTTTTCTAGCCATTTTATATTTTGGTAAGTTATATTGAGATAGCTGAGAGATAGGATCAACTATCAAATGAAAAATAGACTCATCAGTACCTTTATGGGAACAGCAGAGAATCCACGTATTCAAATATAAGAAAAGGATAGTCCTGTCTCATTTGTAATGAACCATTAGCACACCCACAATCCTTTTGGCACGTAAATTAAAGCAAGCCAGCCAGCCAGCCAAGGAAAGTGCAATAATTTCCACATAAAAGAAGATTAGGCCAGAAATATATCCCTACTTACCAGCTAACACATCTTTTAGAGGAGTGCGTGAAATTCCTGGCGTTGGGGAACGAGGATCCCAGCTCTCATGCTGGCTTTTGGCTACCAACTCCCCTTGTTTTGGAAATTGTGTGTTGTCTTTGGGGGAACTCTGTACCTAAAAGCAGAGAAAAGCGAACAAAGTTAAAACAGCATATACAGGGAAGGGAAGATGGAGAAGCAAGTCCTTTGTTCTGAAAAGACAGGCTTTCTTCCAAGTACCTCAATGGGTGTTCTCGGGATCCCAGTAGTAGGTGACCTTGGGTCATTGACATGTTTCAGGTGCTTATTCAGCAAAGGGGTGCAGGTGGGCGTAGCTGGGAAACTCTCAGAAGCCCCCATGGCCACTGTTTGGGAACGCAGGAATCCTGCAAAACAACAATCAATCTTACAATCCAAGGAAAAAGACAACCAGACACAGCTGAAGCCCCTATTGCAGCAACCAAAACCTTCTTCTACCTCCGAGAGAAGGCGCGGCCATAAAGTCGTCTGACCAAGCTGCTCTCCGTCTTCCCAATCAGCGCAAACTCACATTGCCCCCCCACCCCAAAGCACCCTCTTCGCTTTTGTTGGACTTGGTCGCCCAAACTCAGGCTCGCTTAGACTAGTATTCGAATCTCCCGCCTTCCTCCACCACCCTCTCTGCGACAGTCCTGATTGGAGCGAATGACTGTCAATCGCTTAGACGGCTCGTTTCCCCTGCTCATTTTCTTACCTTTCTGCCTCCCTGTCCTCTTGCAATAGGCTGGAAAGTGATTTTAACTCTTCTATCCGTTTTTTTATTGGACTAGAATGCTGTCAATATATTGGAAGGCTAAACCCACCGGAGTTACCTTATTGGCTAGTTTAGACAAATACAAATTCCCATCTCCCAACTTCTCATTTTGAAGACTAATAACATCGGGGCGGGGCTAAGAACATAACCAACGTTTCCATTTGTAGAACGTTTACCTGCAATCCTGATTGGCTATAATGGGTGTCCGTTTAAAAAGATAGGCACTGGAAGGACAAATCAAACAAAAATATCTTGCGTCCCTGAGGGTTTACGGAGCACACGCCCACTTCCCTTTGTGATCCCATTCATTGGCTGGACAAGTTTAGCGTATGTTGTCTTCTGATTGGTAGGTATTTGCTGTGGGCGGTGTTGGAGAAAGCAGCTGTCATGGCGGAGCTGAGTGAGGCACTACTTTCTGTGCTACCGTCTATCCGGGTGCCCAAGGCCGGGGACCGCGTCCATAAGGATGAGTGCGCCTTCTCTTTCGACACTCCGGTAAGCTCTCATGTGAAAAAGACGGAATCTGGTGGGGGGTTCTGTTATCTTCCCAGTCTCCGACATACCGGGCGGGGAGGTAATATGACCCGCGCAAGGCCTCACGGGACTTGTATTTTTCCAGGGAACAGCATCCACTTCAAATCCCTCTTAAAGGAACCAAGCGAATACTACATATCCCAAGAGTTTCAGCGGCCAAATCATTCTTTCGGAAAATGCTTGGCTTTCTGGGGGTTGTAGTTTCTCCAGATCATATCGCAGAAGTGGGGCGTTGCTTCATGGTCATCTTATTCCCCGGACCGTATGGTCAGCCGTGGGGGTCTTTTGGATACTGAGCTACTTTACTATCCCACGATAGAGCAGCTTAAAGTAGAACAGGACTCGTGTGGCATGCCGGACACTGTAGTCCAAATTGCCTGGCTGCCACTAAGAGTGAAAGATTGAGCCCCGCTGCACTATTGAAGTCTCTGGAACTATCTAGGCATGCCTCGCGGGGCATGACGGGAAACGAAGTCCCATTCCCCATTAGTTTCAGTGCCAAACCTTGCGCTCAGGAACTGCTAATCCCACAGACCTTTGGTGGAAGGGAGGTGTCAGCCCTTTTGGTTTTTGAATCAGACACATGGGGCCCTGTATCAACCTAGGTAGCTCTCCATCACCCGAATGTTCTGGTCTCTTTCTAATTTCTCACGATGGAATGAGAACTCCTCGCTCAGTTTTCTCCTAATTGTTATGGGTGATGCTAATGTCTGTAGCTGGCGTCCCCCCTGGCTGGGAGAGAAACCTAGGCAGCCACGCCTTTTTCCCAGAGTGAATCAAGCAAGCCTGGTTAGGCTACACGCGAGTTTTAATGGAGGTTCACAAGAAAGCATATCATTTTTTTTTCTTTTGAGACAGGCGGATCATTTTTCTCTTGTGGGCTCATCATATCAGAGAGAAAGGCTGCATTTTGTGAACTTTCACAATTAATATGGAACACTTACAAATTCCTCCTAATGATGTGTGTGTTTGTGTGTGTGTATTATATATATGCAACAAGGCTAATGAGTTGCTAGTGAGGAAAAGAAGAATATTGTTCTGCAGGAGCATGTTTTGACATCCCTGCAATAGAAGCACTTCTTTTATTAGACATATCTGCAACCTTCAAAATGGCAATGAACAATATTTGTTAACATTTAAGAATTGTCTGGGATAATTGTGTAAGAAAGTATTATTTCATATAATTTCTTACAAATGATAGGATGCTGTTTATCATTTGGAGTGCTTCTAGTATAACTATAATATAATTATATTAAACAGTTAATCATCTCTTTTGAGGGACTAGGTCTGTGCTCTTAGAGAAACAACTATATTTTTAACTGACGTTATTGTGTACTGTAGTTCTGTTTAGCACTCTCATGGGTAGTGTGATGCGTGTGGACGTTTTCCTTGCTGTCTATCAGGCTCACTTATTGTCTTGTCATTCCCCTCCTCCCATATGTGTTTTAATAGAAATGTATGGCACTACCTCATGTTGTTTATTTTTTAAAATGTTTTTTGATTCCACATGGATTTCATAAGAGGAATGGTTGAAGATCAATGTCTAATTTGGAAGGGCGTCCAATTGCTGAGAAAAAAACCCAGAAAATGTTCAGAATTTTCTGAATTATTCTGTTCAGAATCGTATTCCTTTTCCTTGCTGTTAACTCTTGAACAGCTATATTGTTCTCTATAGACTGAACAAACATCCAATAAAAGCCAATAGCCATATAATATGTTTATTCAGTTGAGGTGGAAGAAATAATCCACATATTCTGTATTCTGGACATAATTTATACAAACCAAATTGAAATATGTCAAGTTTTGCATTCATGTTCAAGTGTTTTCTCTACATTGGAATAGGGGACTTGTGCCCTTCAAATACTAGTACTAAACTAAAACAACCACACTGACATCATAGTCAGTAGGGATGTATTCTGGGACTTTCAGTTCAGCAATGTTTGAAGGACCATGGTTTCCCCATATTTTTTCTAGATGGCAAAATGATGCAGTAATGTGAATATAAATGCTTGAGTCTTCTGCTAAAATAGGCACTACTGTTGTATGAATATGTTATGGGTGTCTAGAGTAGCCAAACAAGATCTGTGAACTGAATTACTGTAGTCATTTAGTTCCTGGAACATAAACTTTAAGAGCAGTTTATCTGGTGTGACTGCAATAGCATTAATGCATAATTATAATCTGGGAGCCACATAAAGAGATTAATAAATGGATGATAAATTTCAATGAATCTATCTTAATGTGAAATAATTTTATAGTGTCCTATTGATAAGGGACCACTAAGGATCATCACAACAAACTGCTTCATTCCCATTGCTGAGAACAGATTTGGTCAGTTGTGGGTGACAGCACTAAGAATTCTTCCTGAACATCCAAATAAATCCAAATGTGGCCATAGCCAAAACAACTAGGAAAAATTTAAATGCAAGTTTCTAGACTTCATGACTGCAAATGTATATTTGTGTATTTTTTATCTTAACCTACTAAGCTCTTGGAAGTAAGAGATCTCACTAATACAAGATTATCTGAAGGAAATTTCAGTGCCTGATAGAATTCAGAAAAGTATTTCTAAATAGGGATTTTTATCAATTGCATTCATGAAATGATGTATTTGTGTAATTTATTCGGGCTACAACATTTCTATACACAGTCTTAAAAATGTGGTATTCTGGGATTGACTGAGCTCCCTTTCTATTGAAGTCATGTCTTTCTTTATTCTGTAGGAGTCAGATGGAGGAATATATATCTGTATGAACACATTCCTGGGCTTTGGAAAGCAGTATGTGACAAAACATTATGAAAAAACAGGCCAGCGGGTCTATTTACATCTTAAGAAAACACGTAGATTGGTAAGAAGGGCAACTTTTTTGCCTTGTGCAGAACTCGCTTATTAAAATTTCAGAGCAGAGGAAGAAAGATTGTTGAAACTCATGCTGTTGTGTGCTTTCTTGCTGCCCAGGAGTCTGGACATTTGGAATGGTTGGCTTGCTAATTAATCCTCTTCTGGTTCTTCTTTAGAAAGAAGAAAATAATTCCAGTGCTGGTGATCCTCCCCGGAAGAAACCAACCCGCCTAGCTATTGGTAAAAATATAAACTTACTCTTCTATTATACTATGGGAGAAAACCTTGATGGGAGAGGACATAGATAGACTTTCGTTTTAAGACTGTCAGGAGATTTGAGTTAACCCTAACCAACCAAGCAGACAATCAACTTCTCATCACTCCCTCATGCCGTTGCTAGGGCACAATTGAGCTGACCTTGGTTCTCATGAGTCTTATCGCTGTTATGTCTGGCACTGCAGAGGAAAACATTCTACATTCTTCAAAGCCCGCTCCCACTATGCAAGGCAGCTTAGAAACGGCTAGAGTCATTTTGAGAGTTGACATAAGATTTCACAGCAGCCAGAGTTTACGATATTGCTTCTTACACTTCTCAACTGCTACCGTTGCATATCTGTTTTGATAGGTGTAGAAGGGGGATTTGACCTCCCAGAAGAGAAATATGAATATGATGAACATGTCAAAATAGTTATTTTACCAGAGCATTTGGATATCCCTCAGGATGGACTCGATGGTCTGCCAGATATGGTGAAGGACAGGGTAAGCGCTGCGATTCATCCAGGAGGGGGGAAAGATCACATGGTCTGATTGGCTTTGCACTAGAGGTAGAGTTGACGTGATGCATCAGCTTTGGATATATGGGGATTTTTTTAAAGTTAAAATTGTATGTAAGACTTCAGATCTCTTATGTCAGAGTTCTAAGTAACACCCCCAATGAAAGAAGACTCAGGGGCTTGAATTTCCTCAAATTTCCATTTTATTAGAGATGTCATATTGGCACATCTGAATCTGAAAGCTTCCAGGTTTTCCTGACCCAGTTGAAAGTTCAATCATATCCCGTTCCAAACTGGAAATGCTTCTCAAGCACACCCATCCAGGTGCAGAGCAATTTGTCCTTGGCTTTTTGAGATAGGAATTTTATTTTGACTACATATCACCCATACTCCATACAATCCCCCCTCCCATTTTCCCACAGTAGAAAAATGTGGCAGGCTTGAAAGGCCAATGTAAAGATGGCTTCCAGGCCTGACACTCTGTTGATAGTAGAAATTTTAGGAAGGGCTTGGAAGTCTGACTCTCCTTTTTTCTTTTGGCATTCCAGATTTCTAATGCAATTGAAGCTATTCTGACAGCAGATTC